TCATAGGATTTCTTCCTTTAAGTTGTTTGCCTTCCCTGGAGCTTGAATTTTTTTTCCAAAAAATCTCTATTCACTTTTCACAGATAGTTTAAAAATTGCAATTTTTACATTATATATATTAAAAAAGAAATAATAAATGTGTTTAATTTCACACAGGTGTCACAATCTCACTCACACTGTAAGTGTGTGCATCATCCTATGTGGAAAGACAATAGACTTGCTATAATGTAAAGATTATTATTGTATTATTACTGCTAATATTCCTTCCACATGATTTTTTNCAGATCCAAATCAGTAGAGAAGTAAGTTTGACCCTCCTCCCCCAGAAAAAAATGGGTCTAAAGTGAGCAATCGAATGGGTTTGATCCATGAAATTATCTATCAAAGTCACACACTCACTTGTATCTATGTTGTATGTATCTATCTGTTCCTGTCACTAATTTGTAAAACCTAACAAGAGTCTAAATAAACTTGGAATCTGGGTTGTTTTTAGGGGAGTTTTGTCTCTTAATTATTTTTTCACATATAAATAAAAATTTTAAAAAATTAAAAATAAGAAATTCACCACCTCTTATTTGTGTTTGTCACACGTGAAAAAGCAGCGACACTCTGATCTGGGCAAGTTTCGATACAAACTTTGAAATAATATATTTTTTAAAAAGGTTTAACCCTGAAAATAACTATTTTGCTAATAAAAGACAAGTTGCATTTGCTAATGTTTAATTTTCACATTGCAAATTAACAAGAAAAATAGCAAATGTGCAATTAATATACTGTACAATAAATATTTGTAAATAGTGAATAGATGAATTTAAGATCTGGGAGACTGATCTCTCTCTCTCTCTCTCCCCTGTGGGCAGTTCTGAAAACTTTCCCTGGAGTTTCTCTCCCTGTCTCTCTCTCTCTCTGCCCAGAGCAGAGCAGTGCCCTTTTGGTTAGGTTTTATTGCTCACGATCCATCAAAATTTGTCAAGATAAACAAACAGATCGCTTCACCTGCTGAGCGACAAACTCCTCTCAATTAAAGTTCAAACCAGCCTCCCTTCCCACCCCTCTTCTTGTGTCCCATAATCGACATCTGCTTTGGTATTTGGTCAATGGGATTGGGGGATTTGTAACATCACCCTACCTCCTAATGTCAGATTCAATCAGATTTCACCCACAAAATACACAGTAAATCCACTTACAATATATTCTGTGAAGCGCTTTGAGACGTCTCAACAACGTGATTAGGTTCTATATCAAATGCAAGAATTGATATTATATTATAATATTATAGATAATGAATCGTGGGGAACATCTCATTATTTAATTCCCAGGCTTTTTAAAAAAAACTTCCACCACTTTTAAAATAGTTTTTCAAAAAATAACTATGGTGTTATATACAAAGATATATACTGTACTAAAAAAAAGTCAGGTTTATAATATTTGATTTAAGGGTAAAAGTAAAGTTCCAAGAGACCTGAAGACAGTTTACATGACACCAAATGATCTATCAAAACACTTGTGCGGTTGGTTCCATATAATAAGGCTAAGATGAACCTTTAACAACAACAACAATGTACATTTATATAGCACCTGCCCCATGCAGGGTAGTGTCCCACAGCACTTTGGACGAGAGAGCCCTAGGCGATTTACAAGGTATCGCAACACCGTTTGCAAAAATAATAAGAAAGTGAATGCCAAACAGGAAATTGTTATTAATAGTCATAATAATAATTCTCGCTCTTTTTCATGTCTCAATAGGATCAGAATTTTGCTGTGCATTGTAAATATTAATAATCCCTTTGAAAAAATTATAATTTGCTCACTCAATCCACGAAATCGGTCACTCACTTCCTGACTGTTTTTTGGGACACTGCTGTGTGCAATTGGCTGCTGCATTTCACCCACAAAATATACAGTCAATTCACCTTACAGTGAGATGTCTCAACGATGTGATATTTATTATTTGTTGGGGGAAAGTGACTCAACAGCCATGACCAGTGTTATCCGGGAGGAGTGGGGGGATTGCTGGCCAGAGCCCCCGGAGAAACATCCTCCTCAACTTTAGCCAACTATAGTTATAGATCTGTGTCACAGACTCCATGTCTTTGCTCCACTCCCCTCTTATTTGGAAACCAAACGTCTATTATTCTGACCTGCACCAAAAATTGTTGCAAATTATCAGGTGGAGGCGTCCCAATGTCTCAGTCAAAGACTCTGCAAAATTTCTGCATAGGAACTCAAAACTGCCCTTTCCCCAACCCCTGTCCCTCCAAAACCCTGCAAGAAAACCACATTTTGGTGGCTTTCTTTGCCCCCAGACCTAACTAGGAGAATCAAAAGTTAACCCTGTTGGAATTCGCTGACTACTAGTAAGCAGCCTTTCGTTCTTTAATGCACCTCTCTTTCTGTCCATCTGTCTCAAGTTCTAAGCAGTGTCGCCTCTGTTGTTTGTTCTGCTCTTTACAAAGGAGGGTAATGATGGGAATCAAATGCAGTCGATTTCCTGCACAGTAATTTGTATCTCTCCCCCCCACCCCCACCACCACAAAAAAGTAACTTAAGTCAAATCAAAACAAATGGAAACTTCATCTCCCACCACTCCCACCTCCCAAATCCAATAAATACACCCTTACACAGTCCTTCCGGACCGAGACTCATCATCATTTAATGAGCAAGGCATCAGACACGGGACCTTGTTAATGTTCCGTGGAAATTAATCATTATCATCACAAAGGGAAAAATAAACTTTCGGGTCTTAACTTTTCTGCCAAGTTTCAGAAGACACTGTTCTCTCTTGTGTTACGCAATAAATACACACAGCACTCTCGCAAGGAACTTACTTTAACAATTCACCTTCCCCACCTTTCCCCACCACTCCTTCTTCCCCTCAATTTATAACAATATAATAATCCTTGCATTTGATGTAGCGCCTTTACATGTCAGTGAGACATCTCAAAGCACTTCACAGAATATACTGTAAAATGGATTGACTGTGTATTTTGTGGGCGAAACACGGCAGACAATTGTGCATAGCAGTGTCCCACAAACAACAATCTTGGATTGAGTGACCAAATTATTATTATTTTGTGTGCGAAGCATGGCAGCCAATTGAACGCAGCAATTTATAAGATAATTACAATTACAAAATTAAGATTTTGATTAATTTAAGATTTCCCCCAACCCCCCCATCTCTCTCTCTAACACTGGTGAAGTGGCCTCTAGTAAATTGACTGGATTCTCTCCGGGGAGACATGGCGGGTAAAAAAAATGTTGAAATCATTCAATTAAATCATTATGTTTGCTATCTGTCAGCTCTTTTTTGTGTGTGTGCTTTAAATTGGGCACAATAGTCACATTATGCAATCAACACAGACAACACAGAGCAAAAAAAGAGCAACAGAAAATCACATCCGATCTTTGTTAAAGACAGGAAATGTTGAGGCAATTATTTTCCGACTGCAATCAATAAGTAGCCTGGAGAATATTAAGACAATCCACAAAATGTGAATGTGTTCCTGCTTGTTTTGCTCATCGTGACCCAAAGGAGAATCTTACTATATGACCCTGAAACTGTACAAAGTCCTTTTTAGACCATCACGTTTCACTACAAAATACAGTCAATTCACTTTACAGTATATTTTGTAAAGCGCTTTGAGACATTTCAATGACCTGATAAGGCGCTGTATCAAATGCAAGGATTATTATTATCGCGCTTTAAGAGAGCACCAGAAACCACAGCGACTGACGGAGTGACTGAGTGTTACATTCATTTTACATAGAGGTGTGACTATGATAAGGGAAGGAGGGAGTGATTAATTGAGGCAAACTGCAGTTAACATTTTGCAAATAAATAAACCCTGGGTCAGCCCTTTTCGAACCCTCACACCGCTTTCCGTGAGACAGGGCGTATTTTATTCCAAATTAATAGTAATAAAACATAGATTACTATATATGTAATATGTGTAAATATAAATGTAAATGTAAAATTTATATATGTAAACATATATGTGAATATAAAGTTTATTTTTGAAAAAAATAAACTTTTTTTTAAAAGGGGATTTTTATCCCCAAATTTCTGATCTGATGCGAACTACAATTGCAATCAAGAATAGAGTTAAATCTTAACTGAGTTCAGCATCTTCAACGTGGTGATTTCTTTCCCCCCAACCCCACCAATAACTCAGTTAAAACTGACCACTCGAAAAAGCATCTGGATTTAATGATTGGGGGAAATATATGAATACGGATTTTTTTTTGGGGGGGGGGAGAGAGAGAGGGGGGGGAAGAATGCAGACCCCTCTTGCTACTAAGAGGAGTGTAAATCGATGTGTGTGTGTTTGCATTTCTACTGGGGGAATGTACAAACTGGGGGAGAGAGGGAGGGATTGCACAAGAGAGAGAGAGAGAGAGAGAAAGAGTTTTCCTGCCAGCAGGAATGTGACTGTTTTCTTTCCCTATGGTTTGAGAAGTGGAGGCAACCTGATATTTTTTACACACAAACTATACAGTGCACATGAACAGGCAGTCAGTCAGTCTAGCGGTTCGGCAATCCTGCATTCTCAGTGGGGTCAGCACAACTGAGCTCTGCCTGCAATGCAATTGAGCCAACAAACTGTGGACAGTGGGAATCTTTGCAAAGCTCATTGCTGGGGGCTGTTTAACGTGTATGGGAAGAGATGGGTAAATAAGCGGTGGGGTGGGTGGGGGGGGGGGTGGGGTAGATATTAAACCACTGTTTAGTTACTACAGTTGACCAGACAGATGTTGACCACCCCAGTTTTGGGAGGTGCACACTCCTCAAATAAACTGCAACAGAAAAAAAAATTCATTCGGATCTTATCTTCAACCATTATTTTTTTGTTGCTTTACCAGTTAAAAGTCTCAACCGTTTCCCCCCCCCCACCCCTCTCCCCATGTCACTCTTAACTCATACCCCCAAAGCACATAAGTTTGCTCTATGTGTGTGTGTGAGAGGAGAGAGAGAGTTTGTGTGTAAAAGAAGTCTAACTTACCTCTGGCTGCACTTGAAAACGTGATGATTCCCCAAACCAAAAAAACAAGCGGTAGAAAATCCATTTTAAGTTTAAAAAGAAGCAATTTTGCTTTATATTCTCCTCGTCTTCCAACCTGGAAAGGGAAAGAGATTATATATATATATATATGCATATATATAAGAGGTTCCACTCCACACTTTTGATCTGAATCGCTTACGGTTAACAAACCGATTGCAATGAAAGTGCAACAACACTGACTGACTGCACAATATATTGCGTTGCAAAGTGAGTGCTAAATGCAAACGCTTCTTAAGTGTCTCTCGTCGTAACTCCAGACCCAAACGTGTGCAAGAAACGGCCAGTTCTACACCAGGGGAATGGGATACAGGTATCAAACGTGCAAAACATTTGATGGAAGCAGCACTTTTTTTAAAAAAAATTGCAGAACTTTGGGATGGGACTTTAACATCTAAATACCTTCACTGTTATTTTGCTGGGAAAGAATACGTCTGGGGCGCTAAACATCATTGAGAATTTGCTGAAACCCACACACCCACTCGTACACTCACCTCCATGACTTGGGGCTGTTGTGCCCCCCCCTCTCATCTGAGAATGCAGTCACTTTCAGTTTCTAAAACGTTGATCACCTGAAAATCGTGGAACCCGTCAAAAAAATATATATATCTCACCCTTTCCTGAAGCCCTACAGCACTGACACTGACACACAGGGGGTGGGTGGCCCGAGGACACCAAACAAACCCGAGCGGCCAACACACCGTGTAATTACACTGTGGTCATTAGTTGCAAATTTGCACCAAACTACTCTACAAGAGAAGCAAAAGTTTGGCTCTCAAGGGGAGGAAGAGAGAGAGAGTGTGAGTGTGTGTGTGTTTAAAAAAAACAACCCCGAGGCTGTACAAACTCATCCACGTGCGGATCAGGACTGTAGCGATTAGTTTTTGTTCCCCTGGTGTGGGTGTCCTTTTTTTTCCCACAAAAAGTACAGGAATACAACGTGAAACAGGTCCCCTCCCCGGGGGGGGGGGCGGGGGGTTAAACAATGAAGAGGTTTTATATTGTCCAATGTATATATATATATATACACGAGAGGATACAATATTAATGTTAATGTAATACACCATACATAGATATATGAGGATACAATATTAATATAATACTGTATATATACACATGACCATACAATATTAATAATACTGTGTATATATACACATGACCATACAATATTAATAATACTGTGTATATATACACATGACCATACAATATTAATAATACTGTGTATATATACACATGACCATACAATATTAATAATACTGTGTATATATACACATGACCATACAATATTAATAATACTGTGTGTATATACACATGACCATACAATATTAATAATACTGTGTATATATACACATGACCATACAATATTAATAATACTGTGTATATATACACATGACCATACAATATTAATAATACTGTGTATATACACATGACATTACAATATTAATAATACTGTGTGTATACACATGACATTACAATATTAATATAATACTGTGTGTATACATATGACATTATAATATTAATAATACTGTGTACATACACATGACCATACAATATTAATATAATACTGTGTATATACACATGACCATACAATATTAATATAATACTGTGTATATACACATGACCATACAATATTAATATAATACTGTGTATATAGACATGGAGATACAATATTAATATAATACTGTGTGTATACACATGACCATACAATATTAATAATGCTGTGTATATAGACATGGAGATACAATATTAATATGATACTGTCTACATACATACATATACATACGAGGGAATACAACATTGCAAAGCGGCGATGCTCAGTGCTGGAGCGACTCACGATAACACAGCTGCTGTGTGTGGAGCTGATCAGGAGCTCTCACGACCCTCTCCCTCTCTCCTGACACACTGTGATTTAAAGTGAATCACTGGCAGACTGCAGGGCTCTGGTGACTGTTATCAACAATTATCTAAACCCATCACATCTCAACACCTCTCCAGACCTCTCCAGCCAGGTCCCCCCCCTCTCTCTCCCTCTCTCTCTCTGCACCACCTTTTTATCAGGACTCCACTAAAAAAAAAGCGCGCAAATCAACAACAACAACCACCACCACCACAACACCACACACAACACCACACACCAAAAACATTCACATTGAAAACAAGACACAACACGTGCACTGTTAACACACTATCAAAATAGTTCAACTTCAGGCGATTCGCTTCACTGTTTCCCAGTTTGGCTCGTTACCAATTGGCAAGTTTGTAATGTTTTAATTGCCAGTATGTATCTCTGTATCACACACACACACATATATATATGTACACAGAGTGAGATCCACACCTATCGGTGTGTGTGTGAGAGAGACTAGCCCATAGAGTATGCATCTATAGTCCTGTAGCTCAGGGGTTAGAGCGCTCCCCTCACAAGCGAGAGACCCGGGTTTGATTCCCGGCCGGGCGAAACCTTGGGCAAGTTTCCTCACTCCTTGCGCCTGATAATAATCCCTCAAGAAAAAAAAACAATGATAAATTGGTCACTTCCATCCACGACTGTTTGTGGGACACTGCTGTGCGCAATTGGCTGTTGAGTTTCGCCCACAAATGTGCAGTCAATTCACTTTACAGTCTATTCTGTGAAGCGCTTTGAGACGTCGAGAAGACGTGATAAACAACAACAACAAGATTGCATTTGTACAGCGCCTTTCACGTCGGGAGGACATCCCAAGGCGCTGGACGGTGTACAGCATTTCAGACCAGAGCTGGGGTTGGAGGGGGTAAGGGAGGGGAGGGGAGGGGGTAAGGGAGGGGAGGGGGTAAGGGAGGGGAGGGGGTAAGGGAGGGGAGGGGAGGGGGTAAGGGAGGGGAGGGGGTAAGGGAGGGGAAGAGGACTATATCAAATGCGAGGATTATTATTATATTTTACCCTATGTATATCCATATCAATCAGTGTGTGTGTGTGTGTGTGAGAGAGAGGCACTAACCCATAGAGCATGTGTCTATGTATCTCACACACAAACCCACAGGGATATAATCACATGTGTACATGTATGTGTACATGTGTGTGTGTGTGTGTGTGTGAGAGAGAGAGAGGCTATAGCCCACACCTGGGCTGAATTCTCATCATAGAAACCCCTTGACCTACCTGAGACGGCTTGTGCTGTGTGAACTGGAGTGAGCCCAGTTTGCCCGGGACGTGAGGTTTCCATGTCCTCTACGTTAAACGAGTCGCATGTGTGTTAAATCCAAAGGGAAGTCGATCCACGCGTTGACTGAAGAGCAAAGCGCTTTTGCTTCCGCAACTGGCGTTTTGCAGTCACACACACACACACAGAGGAGAGGAGAGAGAGAGAGAGAGAGGAGAGAGAGAGGAAAGGAGACACAGTCTCCACTTTGGGAACTTAGCAAATAAAGTTATCTGACTACCAAGAAGGTCTTCAGCAATCCCACCGGTTATTCCCCAGTGTGTGTGGGATGGGAGTGAAGGGGTGGGGATAAAGTTCCCCCCCCCACCCCCCTCCACCCCAAAAAAAAAAGTCCACCTCCTCTGTGTCAGAGAGAGAGAGAGAGAGAGAGGTCAGTCAGTCAGTCAAGTCAGGAGAGAGGGAGTGAGAGAGGGAGAGAGGAGAGGGAGGGAGTCTGGCGATGCAGTGAGGAGCTCCGGCTGCTCCTTTCCTTGCGTCCAGTTGTTGTCGAGCTAAAAGGTGGGTGGAAAGCGCCTTATAGTCACTCCAACCCCCCACCCTAATAAATAATACCTGGGCCCTCTCTGACTGGCAGCTCCCCCCCCCCCTCCCCCCCCTCTCTGGTTTTTGTTTGGGTGGTGGGGGTTTCTTTTACGTTAAAGAAAATATTTCAGGACAGATGTGGAGGTTTGCAAACTCGAGGCTCCTGAGTTTTGTGCTGTTTCCACCCAGGAATGAATCGCCAAAGGGGTTTTGCTGAGTTCCTCCTCTCCTCTGTGTGTGAGTGAGTGAGTGTGTGTGAGTGAGTGTGTGAGTGAGTGGTGTGTGTCTGAATCACTCTCTCGCTGATCCTGTGTGTGTGTGTGTGTGTGTGTGTGAGTGAGTGAGTGTGAGTGGTGTGTGTCTGAATCACTCTCTCGCTGATCCTGTGTGTGTGTGTGTGTGTGTGTGTGTGAGTGAGTGAGTGTGAGTGGTGTGTGTCTGAATCACTCTCTCGCTGATCCTGTGTGTGTGTGTGAGTGAGTGAGTGTGAGTGTGTGAGTGAGTGTGAGTGGTGTGTGTCTGAATCACTCTCTCGCTGATCCTGTGTGTGTGTGTGTGAGTGAGTGAGTGAGTGAGTGTGAGTGAGTGTGTGAGTGAGTGTGAGTGGTGTGTGTCTGAATCACTCTCTCGCTGATCCTGTGTGTGAGTGTGAGTGACTGAGTGAGTGTGAGTGGTGTGTGTCTGAATCACTCTCTCGCTGATCCTGTGTGAGTGAGTGTGTGAGTGAGTGTGAGTGGTGTGTGTCTGAATCACTCTCTCGCTGATCCTGTGTGAGTGAGTGTGTGTGTGTGAGTGGTGTGTGTCTGAATCACTCTCTCGCTGATCCTGTGTGAGTGAGTGTGTGTGAGTGAGAGTGTGAGTGGTGTGTGTCTGAATCACTCTCTCGCTGATCCTCTGTGTGCGTGAGTGTGTTTTTTTAAAAAGAAGGAGAGCAAACACACAGCAAAGTGTAGCAGTGAGAGAGGCTGGTCTTTGTGTTTCCTGATGACAAGGGGAGGAAAGGCAAGTCAGTTTCACCAGGCAAACTTCAGGCCAATCAAAGCCGAGGTGAAACTGACAGGCACAGTTGCCTGTTGCCTCGCCAATGCCCCACGCCTGGCCCGCTTATAATAAGCATTCATAATAAATACTACTACTGCTACTGCTGCTACTGATAATCCTTGCATTTGATATCTTGCACCTTACCGTGGCGTTGACACGGCTCAAATCGCTTGGATTTTGTGAGCGAAACGCGGCAGCCAAGTTGCACTCGCAGACAGTGCCCCGCAGACTGCCGTGGAGTGAGTGGGCCAATTTTAGTTATTTGGGGGCGAATGTTGGCCAGGATTTCAGGAGAGAGAAACTCCCTTCTCTTTTCGAATAGTGTTGTGGGGTCTCCACTGTCCACCGAAAGACACCCGATTCCTCTCTTCAAAGCTCGTGGCAAGACTTTTTTTAAATCGGTTTGAATATACGCCTGTGGAAAAACAACAAAGGTAGATTTTTTACATATAGGTTTTATATATATATACTGGAGTCCCATAGCATAGTGATAAAGGTGCTCGCCTCGCAAACAAGCGGACTCAGGTACGGATTCCCAGATGGGACGAACCTGGGCAAGTTTCCTTACACCACACACCTCTGTTTACTGAGCAGTGAATAGGAACCCGGTGGTAGTGATTGGCACTTCGCTTTCCAGTGGTAATAATCCCTCCTCCCAAAAAGTTGATCACTCAATCCACGACTGTTTGTGGGACACTGCTTCGTGCAGTTGGCTGCTGGGTTGTGCCCACAAAATACACAGTCAATTCACTTTACAGTGTATTCTGTGAAGAAATTTGAGATGTGATAAGGCGCAATATCAAATGGAAGGATTATTATATATATATATAGGTAGATTCCCTGTGACTTACACTTGGCATCCTGTAATTCCGTGGAATTGCATAGAATCATAGGTCACCCTGCTTTTTTTTAACCATTTTTAAAAACATCTTATTAATGTAATTATATTGAATTACATGGAACGTTACCAGACAGAAACATATTTCATTCCGTCTTCCATACCCCTCTGTTTTTTTCTCCCTCATATCATTTTGTTTTGGTCAACCGGGTGTCTGACACATGTGGAAACCCATCACGATACTTAAAGAGTGTCCAAACCAAACTGAAAATTCTATGCATCCCACCTGCACATGGCAATTCCGGATAACTGTTAAAATCCGATGCACATTCTCTCCCTGGAAGGACACATCCTGCTTGGTTAATTCCAGAAAGTATTAGGCACAGCTTGGCAAGAGCCAAGGCTTCAGGACAAGAAAGTTTTTGTTGCATTGTTGGAGGTGCCGTCCTTTGATTGAGACTTTAAACTGAAGTCATGTCAGCCTGTTGTGGTGGATGTTAAAGTTTCCATGGTACTAGGTGAAAAGAGAAGGGAGTTGCTCTCTCCTGGTGTCCTGGCCAATGATCCCCCAAATAAAATTGATCATTCACTTCATGGCTGTTTGTGGGACACTGCTGCACACAAATTGACTGCCACATTTTGCTCACAAAATTCACAGTCAATCCACTTTACAGTATATCCTGTGGAGCGCTTTGAAATGTCTCGACGACGTGATAAGGCACTGTATCAAATGCAAAGATTGTTATATGAATGGAAAATCAACACCAAAATAGCATCTGACTTTGTTCATAGTATCTGGATGCGAGCCAGGGTGAAAATGTCTTCAGAAACCACACTTGTTGGATTCTAACCGGTCCCATTGTTACCTTTATTTGGCTTTTGGATTTCTATTGCTGATTTTATACTGCTCCTGTTATGTTCTTGCCAGTTTAATTGGGGAAGGGGAACTATTTTGTCCTATGGGCTTGTAAATAAAACAACAAACCCCATTCTTGCTGGGGTGTGAGTGAAGTTGATCTCAAATAAAACTGCATCTGGAAAGTGTATTGAGAGGAAAAGGAGTGCGTGTTATAACTTGGCTGCTGTTTCTGTGCACAGGTTATACTTTCCAGACTTAAGGTTCAGTCAAATAAAACCCGATATCGCTTGAATTCATATCCCAATGCAGCGGTTGCTTTCACATGTTTTCACAGCACAATTGTCCACTATGATATGTACCAGCAGTAATGATCCCGAAACCTAAACCTGCTCAATAAAGAGACAAAAACTTCCTGCTACTGCAAGCCCAATTTACAACTGGAATATAGAGTCGTCTGTAATGTCAATCCTTGCATTTGATATACAGTAAAACTCGTATAAGTCTGATCTGTATTAATTGAATAGTCGCCTAAGTTGTACATCTGCCTATTCAAGAGTTTATATTGTATGCAGATTTGACATAATTCATACCTTGCATAAGTCATATTAAAGGTATGATCCCAACTGATGCAACTTATGTAACTAGACAGTACACTTCACAATACAGTTTAGATTTATACAGTGCCTTTCACATCAGTAGAACGTCCCAAAGTGGATTCCTAGTGTGGGATGGGTATGGGAGTCAAGGGAGATAGGGAGGGGAAATATAATTTAATGTGGGTTCAAAGAGGTACAGTACGTGCCTTGAAATAATGAATAGAGGGAGCGATTCAGAGGGACTCAGAGATGGAGTTCCAAATATGTGATATGTTGTGAAACATCGCAAAGTGCTTCACAGGATTTATTGTAAAGTGTAATGACTGTATACTTTATTTATAGGCAATCAAGGTAGCACAGCAATGCCCCACAAACATCCATGAAGTAAATAACCAATTTTACTTGGGGCTATTGTTGGCCAGGACAATTGTGCTGTAAATGACGCACATAATAATAATCCTTACAATTGATATAGCACCGTATCACATCGTTGTGAATCTCAAAGCGCTTCATAGAATATATTGTAAAATGGATTGACTGGATTTTATGGACAAAACCCACAAAAATAGTCTAGGCTGTAGCATGCTCTCAGGGTATAATGCTTTCCCCACATTAGAACAATGTATATTTCAACTATTCAGTCACATTCTCACACGTTATGATGGCACCCTTCAATCTGTCAATGCTTTATAAACACTCCGGTGCCTTCCGAACGCTGTTATCTGAACATTACAGGGTTCAAGAATGCAGCTTGCATGTTAATCTAGGCAAGATACAATACACTCTGTGCTTTCCTTCATGGGTTTGTGTGTTACAGAGAACAACAACTTACATTTATATAGCGCCTTTCACACAGGGCAGTGTCTCAGAGTGCTTAACAGTGTTGCTTAATAGCTTAATGGTGCCTGATGCAGAACCACGGGGAGGAAGGAGGTGACCATAAGCACGTTCAAAGCGGAAGGTCTTCAATTGGGATCTAAAAGAGGTGAAGGAGAGGGCAATACGGAGGGATTGAGTTAGAGGGTTCACATACAGACTGTTGTGCGCACAGCAACTTGCAACATGCAACAAGCTCCCAGACTGTTTTATTCTGCAGTTAACACATTCCATATCATGTGCATCTATTTTATTTAGGGAAGTCTTTGTACTATCCAGTTCCGATAAAATCGAATGCAGGAAAAATCCCACTCATAACTGAGAAGAGCTAAACAGGTTCACTGAAAAATGATGAATAACAACAACTCTTGCATTTGATATAGAATCTTAACACATCATCGAGGCGTCTCAAAGCGCTTCACAGAATATACTGTAAACTGTAGCGACATTGTAGGTGTAAAGTGAATGGCCAATTTTTATCCGGGGGATTGTTATAATAATAATCCTTGCATTTGATATAGCGCTTTTCACGTCTTCTAGACGTCCCA